CGCGGTTAATATAAGATATTTTAAGTCAAATGTTTTAAATATTACAGTTGATCGATAATGGTTAATGTTTAAAACTCATATTATCAAATTTTGCTTTTATAGAGTATCAAATATTTATACATGAACAAAATCACATCACATAAGTAATTGTTTTGTTCAAACGCTTTCGACTTTCAACGTCTTTTTATCTAAAAAAACTAAGACAACTCAGAATAAATGTATATAAAATAAATGTCAAAAATATTAATTCTAAATCTAAAAAATATTAAATCTAATTCTTTATAAATAATATATGTAATAATAAATATTTTTTAAATTGGGGAACAAGGCGGGGCAGGGACTACGTTACCTATCCCCGTCTCTGTCCCCAACTTTTAATTTTCGACAACTTTTAATTTTTGGGGATCCCCGTCTCCATCCCTGGTCCCAGGTTTTGCGGGTACACCAAATTCTCAAAAGAGGCGGATCTCATTCACATACTTGTATCTATCACTAGTTGCCATTTGTTGAATTTTGTTATCACCAATCATATCATCTGATTAAGTATTTCACTCCGGCCGTTAGGTTTCAACATTCAAGTTGTGGTTTCATAGACATGTTGCTGATGGCCAAACACACTTGAAATAGGATTTATGCAACATTCAAGTTGTGGTTTCNCCAAACACACTTGAAATAGGATTTATGCAACATTCAAGTTGTGGTTTCGTAGACATGTTGCTGATGGCCAAACACACTTGAAATAGGATTTATGCGATTCACAAGGACGATGATATGTTGGGTTTTTGTTGTACATAGCATGTTAAACTTTTAAAATTTTAAAGAGCGACTAATTTAATTTTTTTGTAATACACCAAATGAAGGATACATTTTTTTTCTTTCTAAATGATAACATTTGAATTACCTAAAATGACAATTTAAGGATTTATATCAAGAAATAATAATCCAAGCCTTAGACAAAGTCTATGTTAGAGATGAGTGTTACTAAAACCCAACGACAGTCGTTGTTTACAAAATACGTAAGACTTCTCCAAATAGCTAACTGTTTCTCGTGCCTCAAACTACCACCCAACTCATTGCAACATCGGTAGTACCATTCCCCAACGAGGACATGATGCACATGCCAACAAATGAAAATCGTTAGGTCTAACGTCTAGTAAGCTCAAACAATTTTCTTCTTTAATATAAAATGGTAAAATTAAAAATATATTTTTATTTAAATCACAATTTCCAAAATGAGATGTATTAAATATAAAAACAACATCTTTCTCGAAATCCACTATTTTCATGATGAAATCTCATCAACCAAAAACCTATTTAACATCAGACTAAAACCCAATAGTCACCCAGAATGTGGATAAGGTTTAATATTCAAATACTAAAAACATGGATAAAATTATATTAAACAAAACACCTAAAAACATAGATAAGTTCCAAGATGGCAAAAAATAAAATCTGGATACATTCTGTACCCCAAAACAACACCGAAATCATGAACAATACATTATCCAAAAATAACACTTTTCAGTGATGGGGGTGACTCAGATCCATCAAATGTAGCGAACACAAAGTAAGACATGCATCAACGTTGTCGAGCTTCACCTCAAAGTCATGAAATGACCTTAGTGCTTACCTTCCAAGGATGAGAACATCAAAACTCTCTACTTGATTCAAACAAAGGGTCAAAGTGAGAACATCAAAACTTCTCACTTGCCACAACCAAAAGGTCCAAGTTGAGAACATCAAAACTCCTTACTTGAATGAACCCGATGGCTTCAAGACGAGAACATCAAAACTCCTTGTTTGACAAAATCAAAGGTTTCAAGATGAGGACATTGAAACTCCTCACATGATTCAAACCAGTGAATTCAAAAAGAAAACATCAAAACTTCTCTTTTCTCACGACAAAAAAGAACCCAAGTTGAGAACATCAAAACTTCTCGCTTGACTAAACCCTATGGCTTCTAGAGGAGAACAACAAAACTTCACTCTTGGCAAACACGACTGATATATATGCCTATGAATCCGATGCATTACATTCCAAATTACATGACTCCAATTGAATAACCACCATACTCAAAACATATAATCATCAAATAAAGATGCGATAAATGTTCATCATGTCTAAGCTCATTATTGAATAATTTAAACCGAGCAAATGTCCCCAAATGTCAAATGGACCAAAATCAAGCCAATAAACTTCATACTTATTTGATTATACAATAAAAGTCAACATAAACCAGTAAGTTACAAATACCCATCGTTTAAACAACTTATAAGCCAAAAGGTTTGAAAATCATCCTTACAACGCAAAAGTCAGGTAAAAATCCACAAAACAAGTACTTATCTCAAATATAAGCCAATAAGCTTCTCCACTTGTTTGACTAATCCAAAATGAGTCATTATAAACTCCAAAATGCAGTTGAAGAGTAATAAATCTCATAACCCAAAATAACACAGACCCCAAAAAACTCAAATCGTATGTAACTGCTAATGATTCATAAAATCAATATGCTAATAATGTATTAATATCAAACAAGCTACACATGCTCAATAAATCATCAAAATCCACACATTTTATGCTTTGATATTAAAATGTCTAAAATCCTCAAATGTAAACATTTCTCAAGATTTTATAAAATCAAATGTACCAAGAAATTTCATCAAACAACAACCCATTTGATAAATCTTAAGAAAAATACTTCAAATTTAAAATAGACATTTTGGTATATACGAAGTTTTTATAAACAACTTGAACTCGCTTTGCTAGGTTAAGTTAAACCTATGTTCCAAACCCAAATATTTCAGGTTCCAAAGGTGAATATTTTAATCCCAAGCTAGAACTTTAGATCTAAGTTGCAAAGCCCTCAAGAACATTTCACTTATTCCCAAATCTCAACACATATACCACCAAACAAGAAATGAAGGTTGGGCTGAAAAGGGACCAAACCCTAGATCAAGATATGGTAGTTTAGATCTTACATTCAATCTTCTAACAATTTCAAATCACCAAAGAAATGCTTCCAATGGTCCTTAAAATGGGACCTCAAGCTTCCCAGAAACTCAATTTAAAGAGAAAATGGTAGAGGAGAGAAGATAGGGGTGAAGATATGGGAAAACCCCAAAAAAATTAAACCTTTTTAGAGTTGACAGATCTTAATGTGGCTTTTCACACGACAAAAGTCACATGGAAAGTCGCCAGGATCCTCAGAAGTCGCATTGAAAGTCTCTGCCACAAAGTCACATTGAAAGTCGCATTAGTCTCTGCTCGTGCAATTTCTTCATTTTTTTCAAGCCCAAATGGATTTTCAGCCATCCTAATATGATAATTATGTAAAATCCTTATAATTTATCATTTTCAATGCCATTTGATTATGTGATTAATCATAAATGGA